GGCCCCAATCCTCCCTTTCACTGCCTACGAAAGGAGCACTAAAATAGTGATCCTTTCACAAGTCGCAAACGGGGCACCGCAAGAGGCGTGGCATGCCTCCTTGGTGTCTCTTCCAGCTCAGTGTGTACGGACGCTGAGCCAGAAGGACATAATCAGAGTGCCCATCATGTGGAGTGATGGGCACTCTGATTACGTCCTCAGGAAGAAGTTGGGGTGCCCAGCATGAGGCTGCCCCTCCCCTTCCTTGCCTCCAAGACGGCTCAAAGCGCCATCTGCAAAGGGGTTAGATGGCTTTAAAAAGGCCATCAAGATGGATCTCTTTTGGCAGGCATTCCCGAAATAATATTACTTTCCAACTGGCTCCTTGTCCTAGATAGTTCTCTCTTTTCTTCCCCTATTTACCTAGAGTGCTGCATGTTTTAATTTGTGTTAGTTGCTTCAAAACTTATTGTTTTAAATCAGATTTTAATGTCAATTTAATTTATTTTATTTTAAGGGGGGTTATATGTTTGTTGTATTGTTTGGGTGTTATGACTGATTTTAAATGTAAGCTGCCTTGATAGCCTTGACTAAAGGCAGGGTATAAATAAAAATTTATAATTATTATTATATTGTTTCCTTTGTTCTTAAAAAGATCATAAATATTGAGTGCCAGGCTGTAATTTGAAAGCAGACTTTGTTCAGAAATACTCTAAATCAAGCATCTCTGGGATGCATACAACTTTTGTCTGTTTTTGCAGCCTCTGCAAAAATTGTAGTTGCCATTGCTGAAGTTGGTGGGCCAGACAAGGCAACAAGTAAGTCACATTTTGAAGCATTTCCACTTTAAAAGAAGGCAGATGGGGAGCATATACTCTGTTTTAAAGCAGGATAGCATTCCTGGATCCACAAATCTGTCCTAAAAAAAGTGTCAGCTTTCCACAAAGCTTGTTGTAAATGAAAGGTAATAAAAATTTGCCCCTCTTCCCATGCCAGCTCTTCACTGGAAATTGGTACTTGGCTCATCAAGATTGCTCAGCCCTGTTTTTATGTTTTAAATAATATAATGATTTTAACATAATTATTTGAATTTGATCAGAAGAAATGATACCTATTTATCTGCCTTGAAACTCATTTGGAGAAAGGTGGGATGTAACTCCAATAGATAAATAAAAATGGATAACATATAAACAGTACTTATTTTAAAAAAACAACACTCATTACACCTACGTTTAAATTAGTGTACATTTAAAAAGGAACCCAACGCCTCAGGGCAATCAAACTTTAATGCTTTCATTTTTCTATATCTACTCCCCATCAGATAAAACTGGTGGCTGGAATCCTATCAGGGAGATATGTATGCATGACACTGTAGTTATGGAGCTACACAGTGACTCCTGTCCTGATCCCCCAATCCCACCCCCAAATGTTGCAGTTGAGGGGGGTCTGTTACCCTGTTGATAGGGAAGCAGCTGACATTCCCATTTCAATAAGCTGCTTCCTGATCAACAGGGGAACAGACTTCCATCATTTGTAGTGGCTCCTTCCCAGTAAGTGGAGATTGGGGGACTTTCATGGTTCCTATGGATCCCCTAAACTAGGGGCTACGTTAGGATCATGAATTTGAAACAGTCATGAGTGTAATGATGTAACTTGGCCATGCACTCATAACCACCCAACAGGAATCCTCCAGTTGGTGTAATTAAAAAAAGTAATTCAGTGATCAGAACCAGAAGAAACAATGCCCTTGCAAAATACAGGCTACCATGATCTTAGCCAGTGCATAGCTATGGGGTGCAGGGAAACAAAATGAGGGCATTGTTCCCCAATAAGAATTTTGTCCTCTAATGAAATTTTCCTTCAGTATGCAAATTTTTAGCATTGTAGTAACTTCAGTTCAGTTCTTGATTTAGAAAGAGAGTTGAGGCTTCCAGAGAAAAGTGGCAGGCAAGGTTACTAGGAAAATGTGGACACCACAAATAGAAGAGCTGTAGATGTGAACAATTTTCACTCATTCTCCATAATGCTAGAAATATGAGGGCTGAAGGACTGATGGGAAATTTAATTGAGGGAGGCACAATCCTGCAGTTACACTCCTGGGATGGGGGATACCAGAGATCAAAGAAATCAGTCTAGGATCACTTGTAGACCATAGGCATCAGGGTGCCACCCTCTGCTCTAGACAGGAGTTATTTTTGTGAAGCAGCCTGAGGACTGAAAATGTCAGGGATGATGGGAGTTGTAGCTCTTCACCTCTGGCTC